GGATGTGTTGTCGGGCAAGTTCATGAATGTTGTTCATTCTTAACTTTAGGCGGTCGACATAATCTTCGCTTGCAACATGTTCTTCGGAAGGTCTGCAGCCAAACTCTAGGTCGCAGGGTAAACGAACTTTACGACCTAACATCAGGCAGGTTGGAGTCTGTCCCGTAGTTTCATTCACGGCCGAGCGGTATGCCATTAAAAATAAATTAATGTGCTGATCCCAATCTCTTTGATGTTTTGATACAACTTTGGACAGGTGTTTACCCATTGTTCGGTTCATCCTCTCGACCATTCCATCTGATTAAGGATGCAGGGGTGTCGTTGTGGTCTTATTGACACCAATCAATTTACAAACGTTTTGGAAAAGGTTTGACTCGAAGTTTCGCCCTTGGTCGGAGTAGATCTCCAAGGGAACACCAAATTGGCTAAAGAATTCTTTAACAAGTACCTCTGCAACGGTAGCAGCTTCTTGATTTGGTATCGAATAGGCCTCAGTCCATTTCGTAAAATAATCCATGGCTACCAGGATATATTTATTTCCATCATTCGTCTCTGGAAGTGGAACTGCAATGTCGATTGCTACTCTCTCCATAGGACTACCAACATTGTACTGTTTCATGGGTGCCCTCTTTTTACCAAATGGACCATTACTAGTTGCACACAGTTCACATTTCCGGCGCCATCTTCTTACATCATCTTTACAGTTCACCCAATAGAACCGTTCTCGAACCTTTTGCAGAGTCTTTGTAATACCAAAGTGTCCACCTGATGCACCGTCATGAAACTGACGCAATACTTCTGACACTTTACTTTTGGGTACAATCAACTGAAGCTTAGTTTCTGTACAATCATCGTTCTCAAAGATTCTACACAGAAGATCATCTTTCAGCACTAGGCAATTCCATTGGCTCCAGTAATACTTGACTTCGGGACTACATGCACTAATATCTTGCTAAGAAGGTCTTTCACTTCGACGCACCCAATCCAATACTCTTTTTATACATGGATCATCTGCTTGAGCGTCTTGTAGCTGTTGAGGCTGCCATTGAACATTAATAACGGTGGTTCGCCTCACGGGGCAAAGTCGTTCTTCTAATTCTAGACAATGATTACGATTTGCACTGTATGGCCGTCTTGATTGAACATCAGCATTTGAATGACTTTTTCCAGTCCAGTGCTCGATCTGTTTTAGCTTTCTGACTAACGTTAACGTTTGTTCTGTCAAACAAGGAAAGAGAGTCTCTCTCCTTGTTTGACATCAAATTTAGTTGGGTTATGTTATTGTTTGTCCCAAATGTCACGTGAAATCTTATTTATATTGAAGTGTTTTAACAATTGTGTCGCATTTTAGACATTACCATACGCATTTAGTTAATAATTACTTAAAACTTTCTCTATATAAAATATTATATAGCTGCTGTTAATAAGTTTCGGACAATTTAAATTTGGCGCATTCGCATTTCCGGATATGTCCGCCATCAGAGGCCACTTTTTTGGTCTCCTTTTCATAACGATTAGATTTCCTCTTTTGTCTTTTTGCTCGATGGGTCAAAGTGATGGAAGAATGTTCCAAGGTCATGCATACAAGTTTCCAAGGCATGCCCCCATTGTGTGAAAATAAAAATAATTGGTTAAGATCTTCGTGAGCGAGATAAGCTGTGTTACGAATATTTATTATTTGTATACAATGTATTTAGTTAATTTTTAGTTCTGTCATGATCCCCAAAATTTCCCGTTGCTACTGTTCCATAGACTATGTCAAATATAACATCAAAACGTCAGAAAGCAAACTATCACCGATTAGGAAAAAATATTAATAATTTAACTTACAGCAAGAGAACAGTAAGTAATGGGAATTAATTAGTTTTTTATATTGATAATTCTATATATTGTAAGAATTTGAGTTGTTCTTTCGCAAATAAAAACAGTAAAATACAAATCCGTCAATTGCTGGCTGTACAATAAACATAAATTCCCAACAGGCTGTCATTTCTCTTTATTATCTGACTGGGATCAAAGTGTCGGGGAAAAATTTAATTAAAATTTATCAGATAAATTTAGATTTTAATAAGTGTAGTTGTCTAAAATCTAAGTATTTATAAAAGTGAGACAAATAATAAACAAAAATTGAATTTAATAAAGGTAGGGTAGGTCGGGGCTAGTTGTGACAGGGGCATGTTGTGACAAATAGTTTTATAGACTAACCATAGGTAGCAGCGTCGCCCGGTTACCCAGAATTCCACGTCCGCATGTCCTCAGTCTGTTTGTGTAGTTTGGTTGTGATGCTATGCGTTTCTGCCGCTTTATAAAATTATATGTCATTTCGTTGTAACGAAGTAAAATTTTGCTGTTGTCTTTGAATTGTTATTTCACTTTCAAACCACAAGGTAAGAAACTTATTCTAGTTGTAGTAGATAGTTTGTTTATTTCTCTCTAGTAAGACACAGTTTGGTTTCTATACGACGTGTCAAGGTCTGTGCAAGTGGCTTTATGTAAAATGGCGTACGGTGGGGCTAGTTGTGACGAAAGGCTTGGGGCAGATTGTGACAGTGTCACAACATGCCCCTACTAATTTTAATGCATGTTTATGGGTTTGTTACAGATAATGGTGAGAAATTATAAAAGGAAAACGGAACGTGGTCGGAGTAATATAAACAGTTACGAGTCGGCTTCGTTAGATGTTAAGTCTGGATCGTGTAGTTTAAGGCAAGCAGCTGAAAAATATGGCGTTAACCGGATGTCCTTACTTAGATATATAAAAAAACAACAAACCAATCCAGATGGAGTGGTAGAAATGGGTTACAAAAGACCTCGAATGATATTTTCACAACAACAAGAAGAAGAGCTCTGTGAATATGCTGTTCAGGCAGCGAAAATATTTTATGGTATTAGCCCAAAATAAATGAAAAGTTTAGCTTTTGAATTTGCTATAGCGAACAAAGTTCTTGTGCCTGAGAATTGGGTAGCAACAAAACACGCCAGTAATGATTGGTTTACAAAGTTCATGCAACGTAACAATAATGTGTCTATTCGTGTTCCTGAGGCTACCAGCTTAAGTCGGAGTACAAGTTTCAACAAGCACAATGTCGGACTCTTTTTTGATAACCTCGAATTAGTATTAAGTCAAAACCATTTTACAGCTAATGATATTTGGAATATAGACGAGACAGGGACTGGGACTGTCCAAAAACCGGTAAAAATCATAGCGAAGAAAGGCGAGAAAAGAGTTGGTGGTGTCACTTCAGCTGAGAGGGGGACCAATGTTACTATGGTTCTTGCTATTAACGCAGAGGGTAACTCAGTTCCTCCTATGTTCGTTTTTTCCACGTAAGTTTTACAAGGAGCATTTTGTACGTGATGGGCCAGTAGGTTGTTGTGGTACTGCTAACCCAAGTGGCTGGATAACAGGCCCGGACTTTTTGTTTTTTTATGAAGCATTTTGTAAAAAAAGTAAGGTGCTCAAAGAAATCACCGGTTTTAGTTCTGTTAGACAACCACAGTGCTCACCTATATATCGAAGTCCTTGACTATTGTACAGAGCACGGTATTACTCTCTTATCGTTCCCTCCCCATACAACAAATAGACTTCAACCACTGGATGTTTCCGTTTTTGGTCCATTTAAGAAGTTTTTAAACGACGCCATGTGTGGATGGATGAAATCTCATCCTGGAAACACAGTCTCAATTTATGACATCCCAAGTATAGTGAAAACAGCATTACCTAAAGCTGTAACACCAACAAATGTTCAGGCAGGATTTCGTTCTACAGGAATATGGGAATTCAATAGAAACATTTTTAATGAAGAAGACTTTCTGTGTTCTTCGGTGACCGACCGACCTTTGAATAGGCCTATTGACATCGTAGATGGTAATGAGGAAGCCAGTGCTGGGCAGCTTAAAGAGTTTCAGCATCTCGATGAACCTGAACCGTCGTCATATTATGCTAACCAGCCAGGACCCTCCCATACCTATCAACCAGGACCATATCAACAAGGATCATCGCAGGCCAACCTACCAGGATCATTCCATGCCGAAGTTCTGCCTGTCAGCCCTATGGATATAAGACCTCTGCCAAAAGCTGGTCCTCGAAAAAATAAAAAACGCAAGAGCTTAACATCTGCAATTTTGACTAGCACACCTGTCAAGGAGACAATTCGCAGTGAAGAGTTAAAGAGGAAGGAAACAATAAAGTGCAAAGAGGATAAAATAAAGAAAAAATTATTTGACTCAAAACAACTGTTGCCTAAGAAAAAAGCAGCGCCAAAGAAAGAGACCGCAACAAGAAAAAGAGAAGACAGCTCAGAAGAAGAGGAAGAAGATTACTTTTGCTTAGTTTGTATGGGACCATATAAAAAGTCTAGGTTAGGAGAAGACTGGGTGCAATGTATGGAATGCAAGAGGTGGGCTCATGTAAAGTGCACAAAAGATGATCTTTATTATGTTTGTATAAACTGCCACTCTTCAGAACTACAAGTAGAATCAGCACAAATTGACGATAGCGATTAAGTTTTTTATTTTACTTTAAATTCACTAGATGTTTTTCTACACATTTGTTTCTTACATAAACATTTATGTATCTATACTTAACTATAAAATAAATTTATTATGGAAACTTTGTTATTATTCTCCAACTAAAGTTTATTATATTTAAAAATATTTACTGTCACAACCTGCCCCAAGTTCGTCACAACTTACCCCATATTGGGGCAAATTGTGACAATATGTGCATTTTGTAAAACTATTTACATACTGTAAGGTATTGCTTAAAAATTGCTGATGTTCCCAAATAATGATTCCCAATTAAAAATAGTACCTCATTAAAGTAATCTAAAAGCCCTAAAAATTACGAAAAAAATGTTAAAAATTATTTTGTCCAAAGTGGCACAACTAGCTCCAGTCTGCCATAAAATAACGGGCACTTTCTGACGAATCAATGTTTGATTAGGTTGTTAAGTGTTCATGACAACTGTCAAATAATTATTTCCACAGCGACCGTTATTTGGTTAAATTTGACACTTTAATAATTTATTCAATATTCAATTTATTGGTAATACGAATTTTAAAATCCTAAAGACATCGTCTACAAATATGTATCATCTACATTTATTAGAAAAAACTAGGAATCCACATGAAGAGTGCCAACTTGTTATACACGACGAAAAAACCGTAAAACACAAAATTGATTCAGGAATTTTCATCGATACAAGACGTTGGATCCGTACCCAATTAACCATCAGTAATGTGCACCCGAAAACAATTATATACTATAAATCAGTATCGGCAAGACGAAGAGAAGAGAACAGACATTTGAATAATTACTACTATATAATACATCCGTTCAGTGCTTTTAATCTGTGGTGGGAAATAACAATGTTCTTTGTTTACATCTACATGTTAATAGTGTACTCACTTGATGATCTCTTTATGTTTTCTCCTAAATATTTATTTTATATTAACATTATGAAGTTTTTCGGTGATAGTGTGTACCTAATTGATATTGTACATATTTTCATTACAGGATATTACGACACTGACCTGAGCAAAAGTATACTGAATCCTTGGAAAATTGGCAAGAAGTATTTAAAAGGATATTTCATTATCGATTTAATCGCTATAGTCCCATCAATTTGTATTCCTCTGGGATGGATAAATCTCGTGAATGAAATCGATGATCCTGTGTTAAGACATTTGCGCTTTATCGGTATAATTCGCATCTTTAGATTAGGTCGAATATTTAATGCTCTGGATCTTATTGGGATGTATAAAAACTTTTCTATTTACATCTACAAAATCACCAAAGTTTTATTACTGTATGCAATAACTTTGTGCGTGTTGTACTTCTTTTTATTTGTGATACGAACCAATATCAGAAAATATCACAAAAGGCCCATTGATAGCATACCTTCTCGATATCTACAAGCCACCATGATGCTAATGTTAATTGCCCACTCTCGTTCCGTATTGATATCAAATATTTTGCTGGTGTCAAATATTGCGTTCTTTATGGTTTGTGGGGTGCTGCTATATTTAGTTTTATTTGCCCAACTGCTACAAGCTTTACGTACATTTATTTCAACCAAAACCACTACCAGCACAGTTATTCAACAGTTTGAAAAATACATGAGGTATAAAGGATTGTCCATAGAGTTACGACAAAAAATATACACTTTTTTTGATTTTAAATTCCAACAGGAATTTTACCATGAAAAGAGAATGCACTATTTTGTATCTGATGCGCTTATGAACAGAATTTTAATGGATATTTGCAGACGAAAGTTTAAAAATACTCAGTTGTTCGTCCATATACCGAACTTGGTATTATATAAGCTAGTTGGAAAGCTGAAAAATTCAATATACCTGGAGGATGATGTTATTATGCATATTGATGTACCGAATGATTTTGTCTACTTTATTTTTTATGGAACACTGGCTGTTTATAATCAGAGGGGTCAGGAAATTTGTCATTTGGAAGATGGGGCAAACTTTGGGGAATTAAGTTTACTGAAAGAAAATCGAATTAGTTCTGTCAAGATAGTTGCTGTTGCCCCATCTGAACTATTTGTGTTGCATAGAAAAGACTTTTTCAGTGTTTTGAAGGATTTTCCTGAAGTTAGAAGAAAAGTTATTGAAAGAAGTATTGACAGATATAATAAAGTTGAAACGGATTACTTTTAGTTATGTTGTAAGATTTTTATAGTAGTGTGAGATTGTTGATTGTATTGATTTTTCTGTTGATTGATTGTTTGAATATAATAAATGAAATATCAAAATTAGGTTTTTTATTTAAACAAAAAGACCTCTACATCTACCTTCTTCTTCTTTAAGTGATATCTCCGCGACAAAGGTTGGCAATCATCATGACTATTCTGACCTTCGAGGCAGTTGCTCTGAACAATTGCCTTGAGCTGCAACTAAACCACTTTTTCAGGTTCTTCAACCAGGAAACGCGTCTTCTTCCTACGCTTCTCCTACCCTCTATTTTTCCTTGAATTATGGGTCTTAAGGTGTTGAATCTTTCGCCTCTCATCACATGTCCGAGATATTGCCATTTTCTTTCTTTTATTGTATTTTCCATTTCCCTCTCTCTGCCTATTCTCCTTAACACTTCTGCATTTGTGACTTTATCTACCCATGAAATCCAATCTTCTAAATGTCCATATTTCAAACGCGTTAAGTCGATTTATTATATTCCGGTTTAATGTCCATATTCAACTCCATGGTAGAGTACACTGTGTACATAGAGTTTAATTAGCCTTATTTTGAAGGCCGATGTCAGATCTTTGTTGCATAAAATCTTCTTCATTTTCACGAAGTTGACACGTGCTTTCTCAATTCTGACTCTTATCTCTGCAATATATTCGTTATTTTCTGTAAACATCTTTCCCAAGTAAGTATATCAATCTGCTGGGACCTACCGTTAATATTTCATTTGTATTGTTGTTTTTGTTAATTTTCCTGAATTTGGTTTTTTTGATATTAAGAGATTCCATATTCTTCACTATATCTTAATATTTTGTTCATAATTCTTTCTGTCTTGCAAATTGTCGGCTATTATGACAGTATCGTCGGCATACCTAATGTTGTTATTTAAACTTCCGTTCACTTTTAGGCCAATTGTCTTGTTTACCAAAGCTTCTGGTATGCTTTCTTCAGAATAAGAATTACACAATAACGGCAACAGTATGCAACCTTGCCCAACCCCACTTCTTATCTCCACTTCTTCTGACACTTCTCTTCCAATTATCACATTTGATCGTTGGGTGTAGTATAAATTTGATATTAGCGTTACATCCCTCACATCCACATTCTTGTTTTTGAGTACTTCTATAAGTCGTTCATGTTTTACTTTATCGAATGCCTTGTTCTAGTCTATAAAGCATACATAAAGATTTCGATTAACATCCAACTATCTTTGGGTCAGCACGTTAAAAAAAATAATGCCTTTCTTGTGCCCACTCCATTCCGAAATCCAAACTGGGAATCACTAATATCCATCTCCAGCTTAGCGTGTACTCTATAATGGATGATTTTTAGCAGAGTTTTTAAGGTATGTGACATTGGACTGATCGTTCGATAATCACTACATTCTTAGGCTACATCAACCACTTTAGAGTTATAAGCAGGGGGTACAAACACAAATAATAAGTTTTTAATTTCTTATAATGTAAACACTTATGTCTTAGTATAATTACATTAATGTACCTCAATCTGCCGGTGAACAATCATCGGCAACGAATATCTCATCAGCTACTACTTTAGAACAGTTACCTACTGAACCTATACAAGGACAACAAAGAGCCCTTTCTAGCCCACTCAGCACACCGAACTCCCACTCTATTAACCAACTAATATTTAATCCTTATCTTTAAAAATCGTCACTGATGCCTCCTCCTAAAGTCTTAATAGAAAAAAGCACAAAACACATTAAGAAGAAGTTAAAAATTGATCCTCAAGTTATTGAAAAAGAAAACAGCCGTCAATAAAGAAGTTCACCTGGTTATGTAGACTTACAAAAAGCATATAACAGTGTACCCCTCAGTAAACTATGGTCAACCCTATACCAAACCAACATTAAGCATGGTCTTATCAAAGCAGTTCAAAGTCTGTATAATTGAACGACTACAAAAATTAAAACTGGATCAAGGATATCTAAGGGATTTAAGGTCACGAAAGGACTAAAGCAGGGTTGCTGTATTTCGCCTACCCTTTTCAAAATTTATCTGCAACAAGCACTCAAGCTGTGGAAAAAAAAATGTAATGGCATGGGAATCCCTCTCAATGACGAGACTACACTGTACACTTTATGTTTCGCTGATGACCAAATACTGATTGCTTAGGATCATGACGACTTCAGTTACATGATTCGGAAGCTAATAGAACATTATAACAAATGGGGTTTCGAAGTCAACATTAAGAAAACTGAAGTCATGTGTATTGGAGGGACAAAGCAGTCCATTATATTAGACGGTGGGGTGAAAATTGGACACTGTGATGAATACAAGTACCTGGGTATGAAGATAACTTAGGATAGAACACTCGATGCTGCCATAAAAGACAGAAACATACAGGTTAGAAAATCCATATCCATAATAAACGGCATTCTGTGGGACCAAACAATATCTATAGCGAACAAACCACTCATATACAACACCATACTTAAAAGTGTAATCACATATGGCAGTAAAGTTTGGCCCATGAAACAAAGAACAGAGAAACTGTTACTAGCAACAGAAATGGACTTCTGGAGAAGAGCAGCAAGTAAATCAAGAAGAGATCGATTACCAAATAAAATAATACAAGAAATGATGGAAGTCAAGCATACAATAGTTGATGACATTAAAACAAAACAGTTAATATGGTACGGCCATGTACAGAGAATGCCAGATGACAGGATTCCGAGACAGATTTTGACGTGGACACCAAAAGGGAGAAGGAAAAAAAGAAGGCCGAGAAGAAGCTGGAGAGAGGGAATCAATAACCCCAAAGCTTTTCTACCCCATCAGATCATCTCATAGCTTTTCTTGAGAACGCCCCGTTAAGTAGTAACCTCAGAATGGAAGCCCAGCAAATTATTTCAGATACTAATTCACTTTTGTCTGACATATATGCAATTTATCCACAGCTAACTAACAGATTTCTAAAAAATAAGTTCACAAGAGTATCAAAGAAGCTCAAAAAGGAATTCCATACCTTCAGAGTTAGACTACACAGATAGCCTAGTATCACAAACATCTCTTGTTACTTCTAAAGATGATGATTCAACCAAACATTCACAATATTCCGAAAGATTCAATAGCTAACATATTTCACACTTATTTAATGGAATTTTGATAGATTTTTTTGCTTCTTAAAAAAAACCAACAAATTATCAGCGACATCAATCCAAATTTATTATGCCTAAAAGAAACCAATTTCAAATAAATCCTAATATTGATATTAGGGGTTATAAAGGTTTTGAAGACGTTATATCATTACGTAAGAACAGAATTCCTCAGAGCAAGTAAAGAAACCTCAATTTTTGTAAAAAAAGACATATTTATATTTAATACATTTGCCTTTATTTACAAACCTAGAAGTAATCGCAGTAAGAATATGGTCCTCCAAAAAAATAACTGTTTTGCAGTATATATTATTATATCTCAGCGAGTTACAATCCTACTGAAGCTAAACTGGTAGACTTAATCTTTTAACTTTTAGCACCGTTTGCAATTATCTTGTTTGTAATAAAATGCCCGCAATATTGCTTGGGGCTCAAAAACCACGTACAACAAAGGAAAAGTTATGGACAAATGTTGTTCAGTTCCTTACATTCCTTGTTCACGCATTCCTCCTTAGCCTTTTTGATTTCATATTTGATTTTATTCTTGATGGTTTTATAATTATCGTTCATTTGTGGTTGTTTTTGAGAAATCCTTAGGGATCTTTAATGCAGTGGTTCTACTTACCTTCTGCATCCTTATGCCGTTGATCTTAATTTATCCGCCTTTGAGACCGATTTCTCAATCTCAGGACAAAATAGTGCCCTCCCACTTAACTCACCCCCCGAAGCCGTTGGTCAGTAAGTGGGGGTTTGCTTATACCGGCAAACATTCGATGATTTCGCAGTGCAGTGTCACAACAAGAACAGTGATTATTCAGTATCAGACCGGTAAGAAGATTTTCTCTACCACTCCGATCCTGTAATGACATAGCTGCTGCCCTATACCATGCTCTCAGTTGATCCGCGGGTATTCATTTGGCAAAGCCTTATTCACACCTGCCCCACATATCTGTAAGATGTTCCCTATTAGCCTTTGGGACGAGCCGTGTTGAGGTTGAAAACTGCCTCGCTCCAAGTGTGTTTTCCAAGAAGAACCGAAGAGCCCATACTCAATTCAGAACCCCTCCTTCTTGGAAACTACTCCAGCACAGACTTAACTGTACTAATATTGAATTGTGATTTAAAGATACAATTTCAATCTTCGACTAAAAAATGATCTGGAATTTTCATTCTTCTTCTTTAAGTTCCATCTTCTATCGAAGGTTGGAAATCATCATGGCTATGCGGACTCTGTTGACTGCCGCTCTAAAAAGTTCTGCACTACTGCATTCAAACCATTCCCTTAAGTTCTTAAGCCAGGATATTCTTCGTCTTCCCACATTTCGCTTTCCTCGGATTTTGCCCTGCATAATAAGTTGTAATAATGCGTATTTTTGCCCTCTCATCACATGTCCCAAGTACTCAAGTTTTCGTCTTTTAATAGTTAATATTATTTTCGCCTCATTTCCTATCCTTCTAGTTACTTCCATGTTTGACATTCTTTGAATCCATGATATTCGTAGGATTCTTCTGTAACACCAAAATTCAAAGGCGGCCAGCTTATTCAGATGAACTTGTTTTAGTGTCCAAGCTTCCAGACCATAAAGAAGAGTAGAGAACACGTAACATCGAAGCATTCTCAGGCGTAGTTCTAACCTTATATCCCGACAACAAAGAAACTTTTAAGTTTAATAAATGATGTACGTGCTATTTCAATACGTGTCTTAATTTCTTTGGTTTGGTCTACATCTGATGTTATCCATGTTCCTAAATATTTATAGTTATTAACATTCTCAATTGCAGTATCTTCAATAGTCAATTGGATATTTGCATGTGCAGATTTAGTCATGATCATGCATTTAGTTTTCTTTAAATTTATCTTCAGTCCGTA